GAGGGCCATCTCACAAACCAGTCCCACCTTAAATGAATTATTGGGAGAGCTCCCAAGTGCTTCGAAAGCAAAGAAAAAAAGGGACCCATTCTATCAGCTTGGCCTTTCAAGAGCTATCACCATATTGCTGCATTAGCATTAGGACCCTGCCATAGTCCTTTGTCAAAAATAGTAGTAATAATAATAATAAATCATTATATATGGATAAATGCAAAGTTTGAATAGGCGAGGTAGTGGGTGCACCCATGGCATTGAGCCATCACATCTAAGCACTGGCACTAATTACTTTTACCCAACCTAGCATGAGAGGAAATCAATTTCCACAGTAGAATAGCTTGCCTGTCTATCAATCTGTCTATCCAACAAGGTTGCTTGTGGAAGGCATGGCATGCTTGGGTGCCAAGTTCCCACGTAGAATTGGTTGACGAGCCCACAAAATATGGGGATGTACCATAGCATGAGAATATTCTATGTGGACTCTGTTTATGGATAGAAACCTGCCACAGCCGAAAAGGGGAGGCCCAGTGAGCTGTCTTCCCAAAGAAACTTGAAGGCTTTGCTACGTGGTCAAATATTCTGGTTAAATTGGGATATAGAGAGATTCATATGTGGTGAATAACATTCCTTTTAATAGAACAGGGAAATGTCACTGGCAGATGGAGTAAGGAAGTCTTGCTCATTTCCAACTCATGGGTTTTTGAAGGTACTGCATGCGACATGAATGTGATGTTAAGTAATATTTCATGTGAATGAAACCACAGGCAGAAGATCTCAACTGAGTTACTTCAATAGTAGATTACATCTTCCTCCTTCTTCATTAATTAATTTTTAATTATAATGCATGATGCATGATGAAATGAAACTGGAAGGATTGATGTGGGTGTGGAAAACACAAGAGTTGAGTACACTTCTATTTCCACTGTTTTTTGCTTTTATGATTCTACTTGCCATGGGGGTCAGTGTCCATAGGACCCAAAACACTTGGGTCAAAAAGGAAGTCAATGGTCATAAAGGCAAGTCGTGAAGGATTTTGGTTTCTTTGGGATTTTTTAAACAAATGCATCAGTGAGGAAGGTAAGGTTTATCATGATGGATGAGAAAACCACGATAAAATTCAGGCTACTTTTTGAGGCCTGGATGAGAAACAAAAAAAAGAAAAAAACTTCTGAGGACTGGAAAGTTAAGAGTTCGATTTTGGGATAGGGATAGGGAGAAAAAACAATAGTATTTCATTAATTAGTTAATTGTGATCTCTCACTTATTTTTTGAAATTTGGTGAACATGGTTTTAAAATTGAAAGCATCTGTTCATGCTGCAGTGTAGAATCCAACAACTTACACAGGTTGTTCACATTGCAATAAAGGTATGATTTTCTAACACCCACTTTTCACAGTAACACAATGATAATAATTATTGTAATAACAACAACAGCAGCAAGTGTAAATTTATTTTAATTTTAACCTGCCATAGATTTGATGCTTTTGAAGCATAAAAACAATAAGTTTACAAGCAATGAGGCAAGTTGCATGCCACCAGATGAGCTGGTCTCTTGAGTATGACACAGCTGGGTTGACAATTTTACTTTTGTTATTGTTTGATTGTTTGTTTGGTTTTTTTTTGGTTTTGGTTTTGGTTTTGGTTTTTTTTTTTTTTTTTTTCCTCGAAAAAATATTTTACTAAGAGACTGAGGTTGACAGGGTTGGCCTCCTGAGAGTTGACAAGATTTGCACACAAGCTATCAACCTCTCGTCAAATGAACACTCCCACTTTTCTTACAGGGAACATTTATGTACTTCATTTGCAACATATTTTACATCAATTAGTTGCTATAACTTTTGGGTGTTATTAATGTCACTGCAATTGTTAATGTCACAACAAACTATCCTAAACTAGTGTTGCACACCACAATGCACTTTATGGAACATTACAATACACATGTATATAAAAAGTGCATTTTACTCATTGTGGTGTGCATCACCAATGTCCCAAAAAAAATTAATGTGGTATATAATACAAGGTTCAAGGCACCTTGTGGTGACATTAACAAAAATTGTAATGTCATGTGCTAGATGGCAAGTTGTGGTGGTAATGACAAAGATAGTGATGACTTTAGCAACACCTTAAATTTTACCCATCATTTTACCTAGTTTAGAAGGGACAAGTGGCTGTGGATGAATTATCATATATATATATATATATAAAACAGACTCAAAATTCCATCATATTTTGTGGGAATAAAATCTAACTGTTCTTTGAATTACATCACTAATAAATCAGAGAAGAAAATCAGTTCAAACTGTAGCCAACATACTACTGATCAGCTTGTGATTCTTAAAATCCATTAAGTGTTGAATACAAGGCTTGGATCCCTTCTGTGGTTCTTGAGGAGCTGCAGGGTTAGTTATGAAACAGAATAGAGCTCGAAAAGCAGCCTAAATAAGTTTATGCCCTGCCAGCAAGCTTGCCTGGCAGTTTGAAAGAGGCCCTATCTCTGCCAATATGATTGTTTGCCTAATTTTGTTTTGCTACAAGGCCCCATACAAAGCCTGCATTTAGTTATATGTGAGAATGCTTCATTAGATAAGTTTATGCCCTGCTTGTCAGCTTGCCTGGCGGATTGGAAGAGGCTCAACCTCTGCCAATATGATTGTTTGCCTAATTTTGTTTTGCTACAAAACCCCAGACAAAGCCTGCATTTAGTTGTATGTGAGAATGCTTCATTAGATTGCATTACACTTCAACCAACACTTAGTGGTCAACATGGACAAAACTCCATGATACAACATAGAAAAACAACCAAAATGGACAATTTATAAATAGACAAAACAAATGGATATGAAATAGAATTTTTCTCAGTGAATGTGTTCCGCAAGTTTCATGAATGGTTGAATTGGGGAAAAAATAGGAAAGCATGAGAGAAAAAGCTGTTTTCATCATCGGGAGGATGTTCCACGCCTGGGGCTAAATTGGGAAAGACGGCATTGAGTTGGCTTTGTCTTAAGCAACGTCCTTGGAGTAACTGTGGCTAAATTTGAAGACGAAGTATGATCTAAACTTGGAGGCTCAATGAGAAGGTTCGAGACCTCGACACTGTAGTCAAGCATCGTGGAACATGCTGCCAGATTGCAGCCAAGAAGGGTAATCTGAGGCTTTTAACATGTTTTATTACTAATATTTTCCACAATAAAAGGGAACTGCATCGATTGTCACTATGTGTCAAGCGTGCAAGAAGTGCACGTGGGGTTATTTCCACTTCAAGGACCATACCTTTAAACCTATCAACAATATTTACTTTTCCCCCTTTAAACTTTTGTTGGAAGGAATGCATGTCCGTTTGCCGAAGAGAGGTTGGCTTTCACCAATGTTCGATTACGGATATCCAATAATACACAGAAATGACTGAGACACAAGAAACTGCAACCTTAGCTCCAATTCCGATGGGTGTGGATGGAACCCTTCTTCTCATATCCTATGTCTATTCATCACCAAACATATGATTATATATTACCCGTTGGCCCAAAGTTTAGTATTAGAAAGCATTAAGGCTCAGTAGCATTTAATAGGAGGGCCAATCCAACCCAGAAACTGCAGAGGGTTGAAAAATCGGAGGCGGAATAAAGCAGCTGTGAAAGTCGGGGAAACGAGGCACACCATATTAGATGAGGCTTTGGATCCCTCATCCATCCACAAGAGAGTTCTAGAAGCCTGCTCTTGTTCTTTGGGGAAGCAGCCTCTGCTTTGATCCTCACAGACAACATAATCAGAATTTTGACTGTTGCTGGAGTTCTAGGCTGGTGTGACGACAGGTCTGTCTTCTGTGAGGAGTTAGCAAGGCCAGCTTTGTAAAAACAGACCCACTGGGGAGCTGGATTAAAGCTCGGGGTTAGAAATGCTGGCGGGTCCTATCCATGGGTATGAACGTACCCAGGTCTGCTAGCAAGGGTATGAGCACAGTGATAGTCTTTGATTCCACTCCACCATATCCCAAGGTATTGAAATCTATGTCTGGAATCCTGGACCCAGCGTAGTAATATTGACAATGAAGCCGTGCTCTGACTTTGGGAATGGAAATCTTTGCCATGGTGCTTGAAAACTCAGGTCTACAGTCCGGGCAGCGCCGGAGTATGGCTCTTAATCACTCCCAGGCGACTGCCGTGGAAGCCTGTGCCCGTGGCAGCTGGTCTTCAGAACAGCCTGGAATTTGGGATTGGAGTATCTCATTTGACAAGACTCTATAAAGCTGACTCCAGTTTCCACTCTCATATTCATATTCTCTGTAAAGATATTGACGGTGGACTTGTTGATATGCTGATGTGTTCAACAGACAAGAGTCCATTACAAATTAATTATCAACCAAACCGAGTGGAAAAAGCAAAATAAGCTTCGGAATGAGCTTGGGAATTGTGTTTCTCAGTAAGTTACTCGGGGTTCTATTGTTGACGTTGGAAAAAACAACCTTGCTTGCGTCGTGCAATTAGTTCAAGTATAGTGAGGGTAGTAGAATATATCATGGGTGAGGAATATGGCAGCGTGATATTTTGGATCCTGGTTTTTTACCTGGTCATGCTTGCGGCGTGCATCTACTGCGGTGCGTGTTGATGAGACGAAAGATACTGAGCAGTAGAGACTTGCGAGGCGCACCTGCTGTAGGACACCTTCCACGGGAGAAGACTTGTAACCCTTACGCTGGCTTCAGCTAATGGAGCACGTGCTCTCGGTGACAAGAAGGCCGGTCTGATTCTTCTTCTTCGTCCTGCTAATCATCCGTACATGGCGACGAATTGTTGGCGAAGAACTGTCGAATGCGAGTATGGTCACAGCCGCGAAGTTGGCACAATTACCGGTCTTAATATCTAGACAACTGTGGTCAACTATTAAGGACGCTGCTTCGCTCATTTGCCGATCAGTCCAGAGATGAGCCCACCGTCCGATGTGTTCTACGATCGATTTTTCTGCACCACCGGAAGCATAAAGCATGAATTTTGCTGCGATCATCCATCAAACGTCATTCATCCTATACCCTCCATGCAGTTCAGGACTTTCTGGGACCACAATATAAAATAATCCGGAATGTTGCCCCCTCAGTTCCTTGCAGGGCGATTACGGTGTTAGTGCTGTCCAGACATCATAGCGAGATAATTCAGACAGAACGCAAGTTTGCACAGTAGGAAGAAGAGGACGAAGGAAGAAGAAGGTGATCGGTGGTTTGCCTGATTGTTAGAAATAAATCGAAGGTAATTATTTGAAGGAGCTTCTGTGACTGAAGTGTTCGACAAGATGGTTTCCCAGATTACCTGCAGCTGCGCATGATTTTGAATGTAAGAACTATCCATCGTGTATGAGCGAGCGCTGTATCCAAGTTTCGGTGTTTCTGTGTTGTGCAGAGAAAGAGAGAGAGAGAGAGAGCGAGAGAGAGAGAGAGAGAGAGAGAGACAGAAAGGGCGAGGGAAAAGTTTTGTGGGCATCAATCGCATGTGTGATACTGTAGTTACGTGTGTGGATATTCGCCACCTCAAGTGAACGAAGCCATCCAAATTGATTTGTAGCAGCGATATGCTAGATCGATTGCTTGTGAGTGAAGATTTCTTCATAATCCTTGTGGGTGAATCCTTCTTTTCAGTCAGGTGATCTGTATCCAACCTAGTGCTCTTCCTGATCAAGTGATCTCAGAGCTAGACCGATCTAGTATCGTTCCTCGAGCAAAGTGAAGTAAATTGTAGATTAGTGTTGCGCATGTGGTTATACTGAGTGCGCAAGCATCATTGAAGAGCGTGTCTCGAATCTTCTCGTGAAAGTGGAAAAATAGAAAATAAGAGTGGCAAATTGTGTCGATTGATTAAAGATTGCATCGTTAGGGTCTGTTAGGAGTAATCGCTTGTAAATTTATAGGTGAAGAGACAGAAGTTTAGTATCAAAGCAACCAGCTATGCATTTACCCCTTCAGCACCAGGCTCGTCTGGCCGGCAGCTTCGACGACGAGAATGAGGAGCTTCATGCGCAGCTACAGGCGAATTCGGTCTCTCATTCGCATTCTCACCACTCGCAGGAGGACGACGTTTCCCAGTCGCAAGGCAGCAAGGGGAGCGGGGGTGACACTACTCCGAATGGCACTACCAAGCCCAAGGACCTTCCTTGCCCGCGCTGCCAGTCCATGAACACCAAATTCTGCTACTACAACAACTATAGTGTCAACCAGCCCCGCCACTTCTGCCGCAATTGCCAACGCTACTGGACCGTGGGTGGTACTCTCCGCAACGTCCCCGTCGGTGGAGGATCCCGCGTAAAGCACAGCCGCCCGCGCAACCGCACTGACCCTTACTACCGGCCCGGCGCCAACCCATCTAACGAATCCGACGCTGAGACGGACCAGAGCGGTATCTCTCTGCATCCCTACCTCGCACATGCCATGGCGGGCATGGTACCGCCCGACATGGCTGGCTTGCTACCCGACGCAGGCTTTCCAGATTACCCCGATCCTGCAGAATTCCCTTTCCACCCTTCCCAAATCTCCAACCTGCTCCAGCTTGCGCTCCTTCAAAACCCGAGCATGTACGGTATGCCATTCCCGGTCGGTAACCCTGAACGAGACGAGGCTGAGACACTACAAGCCATGTACGAAGCACAAGCTGCTCCAAACTCCGGAAATCTTTTGGCTGTTGCCGCGGCGATGATGCTCATGCCAGATCTTGATCCTTCGACGATGTCCTTGTTGCACAAGGCTACGCTCTGGGCCGAAGCTCAGCGTGCGCAAGCGATGTCAAGGAGGCAAACCACTCAACACGCTGCGCAAGCAGCTTCCGCCTGGGCCGAAGAGCGGGAATGCAAGCCCAGCGTGAGCGCGCAGATGCATCGGGAGATTGTCGCGAGGGAGGAGTTACGTCATCGGCAGCAAGTTGCCGGGATGCATCGCAGGCCCGGGTTTTGGGAGACTGCACTGTGGTACAGCAGGCCGAACAAGAGACCGGCATGGGACGAGGCATCACCATCGCCGAAGCCAGCGCAGCAGGGAAGCACCCGCACTCTCGACGAGGAGGCGGGCAACACTGCCAATGCTTCGAGTTTCTCCCATGGCTATGACGATACTTCGTCGTGGGGGAGTGTGGGCTTGAATGCTGGCCAAGATTTGTTCTTCTCGTAGCAGTCGATGATGGCAGCTATTGGAATTGCCGATTTAGCCAGTTTATGAACCTGATTCTCGGGCTCCTGGAGGCAGAGCAGAGAGACGCGGGGTGGTTAAGTTCGTGCGTTATTCTCGACAGAGCTTTACGGCCGGGGATCCAATTCAACGTTGGTTTTGTTTTTAGTTTTTGGTTTGTACAAAATGACCTTCCACCCCTTCTATTTTCCCCTACCCCCCAAGAAAACATCGCCACAGAGTTCAGAATTAGCCTACCCGACATGTGATTATCATTGCTCAAGAGCTGTGAGTTCATCAATGCGGCGAATGTTAATATTCTGCAACTCAGAGGATTTCAAGATAATATTGCAGCGATTAGTGGCGTGAATTATGTCCACATGAAGCGGCGAGGCAGGATGCTAGACGCACTGAAGAGTGCGGACGATCCCCTTGCGGAGTGAAACGCGAAGACTTGGAAAGTGTGAATTAGGCTTGACATGGTTTCGAATTTTCCAATGACGCAGCCGATGTGAAAGAATCCATCGCCCCTGGATGGATCGGAATTTTTGAACTGGGAAAAAAGGGTTGTACTGTAGTAAATCATGTGTCGCGACCTTTGAGTAAAACAATCGTTACATCTTCAAGCCAACCTTTGAACAGGCTTTTGGTTGCAAAGAGGTTTGATCGGAGTAAGGTTGTGATGTGATCAGTAGTTGAGGAGGAATAAGGCTAGTCCGCTGTTGCCATCTTCCAGAACGGAATTGTAAATTTTCATATCCTTGAGTCCAATTGTAACAGAGCATATTAAGTGTGAAATCCAAATCATCTTCTGTCACATGTTCGTGTCCCTTCATTGTGAGTCGCAATTGCAAGGTTGATGTTCGACAGAAGATCTCACAACATGAACCTTCAGTGTTCTACAATTTCCAGCCTCACATATCCTGTTGCAAAAACACGTCGCCATGCTTCCAGGAGCTGTAAAGGCATTATAAACTTCTTTTCTACCTGAAGAGTGCTGGCATACCACTCACCGTTCTTAGCAATCGATACTTAGAACTGATCAAAGAGATAAGTCGGAACCAGCCTAAGTCTTAGACTTTTCCGTTCTGTGAGGAACTTACTACCGCTCAGATAAATTACACCTTCAGTACATCTTCAGAGCACTTCTTCGGCAGACATGTGGAGTAATATGTCGACGTGGGTATGTAGTACGAAGTTTCTTGTGCAGATTTTTTGATCGGTAGAATCGTTAAAGCCACTCGCCTAGTACCAGTTTGTTTTCAGTTGTGCTTTTCGGAACTCATCAAACGGGAAGAATTCTCCAACAATCCAGTCTATCTGTCCATAAACAACCCACCTGAGCTCGTGGCAGGTAACGTAGGAACAAACAGAACCTCTCGCCGATTTAAAAAAATCAAGACTCAGTTGTGACGAAAGACTTGATAACGCAACGCAAGCATGATGATTGGCTGATCACGCCTTTGTTCATGTTTGTCAGGCTCCCTTTTGTGTGGATGAGCTCATCATAGAACTGTGCACACGCTTGCTTTCGATTGCGCGGATATGTCAGAAGCAGTCACCACTGTCGCGGCGATTCATTTAATTTTATGGAGCTCATCTAATATTGAGCAGGTGCCTGCATCACCCAAGAATGTACATATTATATGATGGAAGATTCAGCAACCAAAATGCGTACAAAAAGAAGCACCTTTCAATCCAGTACGTGATCCTCATTCGCAAGTCCGACAGTACTTCAGAATTTGCGAGTGCTGCACAGTCTTGGACAGTGACAGCAGAAAAGATCCTCAATTATCGTCACCTATTGTGTCTGCCATAGCGACGCTATTACTATGATTTCGCACGAGATTATTAGCAGATTGTGAGATGATGGTCTCATAACATTGCGAGTATCAAGGCAATTCCCAAAATTGTCTAATGGGAAGCTGCTATCCTGCAGTTCGCCCAATCGCCAGATTTTCGAAGTGGGAACCATCTGGTTATCTGGTGGGTAGCCTTCAGAACATTATAAACCTCCTTGACAGTCCTAAAGTTGGTGTTCGAAGGATGCAGTGTTTTCGAATTTGTGAATAAGATATATATCAACTAACTTGATAGTTTACAATCTAGTGGCACTTTATGATGCAGAGTGGTAGACAGACACAACTTTCACGAAACAAACATGCTGTTTATCATACTAATTGCAACGCAGTTATGCTACATAGGTTTTCTGATATTTGATGCATGTGATGGAGTAGTGGCTCCGTTAGAAACCTTGACACCTTAGTCTTGCATTAACAATTGCTGGTTCAGGTAATTGTGAAGGTGCATCTGACTCCGAGGTTAGACGAAGACGCTCAACCTTGAGCAATCAAAGAAATCATGTCTTGTACTTGGCGTTTCCAAGGGACATGACCAAATTTCGAAGTGAAATACCAGGCTTTAGGGACACAAATTTCTTCTAGTTCGTTAGGCATCAATAAGTGTTAACTTACGGTTTGCTAAAGGTATACTGATGATGCAATGAAGTGGCATTGTGAGGTATCTGTGGGATCGGTACCTTGATTGGGGACACCAACTTTATTACTATTGTGCTGTTGCATCATAGCATCACGAAAGTCCCTTGGGTTCGAACTGACTGCTATGGTGAAAGTGATTGTAAATAACTATTGGCTTCTAGGCTGAATGAAGTAGGACCTGCGTTCAGCAAACTATTCAGGTTCGATGAACCTTCTCGTATTTCCATTTTGATGAGATGGACAAATCTCAAAGTGTGACAGAATTGAACAGGCACAATTTTCAAAGCTTAGGAGTTGAAAACGCTGGCCCAAGACCAACGACGTCCACAAATATCAAAATCGCAGAATCAGAGGTCCCTGTTGCGCCTAATGACTTTCATTGCAGAATCATCATCGTCAACATGACTGTACAAAGTGGCTAGTTGTCTTGGAAGACTTACTCATCTCTAATTCAGTTTTCAGTCGCAAGCTGCTTCATTTGGGTTACCTGAATGAGATTAAACCAGTTCGACTTGAAGTTAAGAAATGATACAGTTCCTATTCCGTTCTATCAAAACAAGTATTAGGCTCAGATAATTGAGCCTAATTCTCGCTTTATGGGTGCATTTTTCAAGTGTCGCGCTGAGTCGATAAGCTCTCCCATGTCTCCAAACACAGTGACGTCAGCACAAACGGAGTGAAGAATTGATCCACACGAAAAGCTAAGTCTTTACCAATCCAAGGATGACGTAGTCGGTTGTTGGCAAATGGTTGGCATAGAGCTTCACAGGTGAGAGACTCCCCCTCTTTACATCCAATAATGCTGATATCTTCTCGAGTGTATTTTCCCTCTTGTTTCGACCCTAGGTCACTGGATTCCCATCAATAAACGAACCTCACAGGACGACGACAACAAGTCTTGAACAAAACAGCGTTCCATGTGGTCAATGATCACCACTGTATCGTCTCCGCTGCAATAAATCTTCTCGTTTTCACAAATGTGAGGAAGTACTCAGTGAAACATGTTTCAGTGTGATAATAGAAATACGGGGATTTTATTTTTACAGTATTTAAGAATTCGGAATCATATGACAATTCAAACCCTTAACTCTATAACAAGGGCCCATGCCATAGCACGGACAACACTTTGATACAGTATCCAGATAGGAGACACGCCACCTGATAACTACCATATTTGGTTTATCAGAGTGCAGACACTGGATGACATCTTCAATTATTACAGCACTACCACGCCACCTACAGCACTAAATAATTGAGCCGCCATTCAAAGCCAGACATCACCAGCGCAAACTCGAAAGTGCATGTAGACTTACCTCTAAAAGACTTGCCTTACACCATGATTGGCTTAACTGTGATTTTTATTTTTGCAGTATCTGAGATAAAGGCTAAAAGAAAGTGACTACCTTAGATATAGATACCCTAGTAGAGTGCCCAACGAGACTTCATGTTACATCTTTCTTCCCAGAAGTTACGAGGCTGTTCAGCAACGTAGCTGCACTTTCCGTGTGATTAGTTCTTTTCCCCTGAGGTCATAATGAAATAGTGACATATATGGTTTGATGATTCCACAAAGGGGTCCGGAGCAAACTTGAAAGGACAGTGAATGGAAGCATGAAGTAAGCTCTACAGAACATAGTTGTGCGCAAGTAGTTCTCCGAGCACTATTGCAGATTCTACAAGATGACAACTCTTAGAAGCCATTTGCATGTCATGTTGTAGGAATTGAAAAATCATATTTGGCAAAAAAATCTGTCAGGAAGTTTCCACAAATAAACTCTACTTTGAGCCAAAAAAGTGAGGATAAGGACATTTGCTTTAAAGAAGTTAGGTGATGCTGAGCCATCTTCACCCACATGCCTACTCCTAGATCAGTTTGGTTGTTCCTGAAAATTAAGATACTTGTATTATGACTCAGCCCATTACATATAACATACTAAAATCCTAATACTGGTTCTTGCAACATAGAATACAACTCATTTGCAGAAGTAACTTGGCAGCAAATTTATAGTTTTTCATGGTCTGTACTTGTTATAAAAATGGATCTACATTCAAATTGCAAATGTGAATGTGTTGAAACAATGGAATGCAGCATTTTGTAGAACTTTGTTATGTACTAAACAAGTTCCCACTTGCAGTACAACCAATATGGTATAATTAATACTCCTCTTTTGAAAGTGGGACTTAGTTCTTTATTGAAACAAGACCCAACATATCTCTAAAAGCTAAAAGCTTATCTCTAAGAAGAGGTTTCATGAAGATATCTACCACCATGTGCTTAGTGGAATAATATTCCAAATTAATGTGTCTTTTTTCTATATATTATTTAATTAATAATTATTTGAATGTATTTAAATATATTATTTAAATTCATTTAAATAAATTCAAATAAATAATCTATATATTATTTAATTAATATGTATTTAAATTTCCTCAAATTAATAGTATCATTCTTCTTATCTTACAAGAAATCAATGTAATAGAAATGACTAGGTTCATTGAAGTCTTTCATCTTGTAGCATTCTTGCAATTCATCCTTGTATTTTACAAGAATTTTAAAGTTCTTGCCACCAATTACTACATCATTGATATAAATAATTAACTCCTTTATGTATATTGTGTATAAACAAAGATTTGATTTTGAGCACTCTTAATCAATACTCAATAAAGATCCATTTAAATTCTTGTTAACCTTAAATTTATCCTTCAAAAGAATTTAAATTAAACATAATTTTATTTTCTTTTTAAAGTTTAATTTAAAAGAAATATGACAAAAAGAAAGAAAAAGATTTGATTTAAAAAAGAATAAAGAATAAAAAGAAGACAACAAGAAAAGACTTAGTATAAAAATAATCGAAATAAAAGCTAGTATAAATAGGATTAAAAATAAATTTTAGTATGAAAAGACAAAGTGGTTAGCTATCCATGTGAAAAAAAAATAAGGTGGTTACAACCACCTTAGGTAGTTTTGGTAGTTATGAATAGAATAAAATTATGAAGTCTATATAATAATAAAAAAGTTATTATTAAAAAACTATAAATACTAATACAATTATATTAAAAAGATAATAATAGAAGTCATAGTAAAAGTTTATATTTAATATTCTATCTTGTTTTTTTTACTTCATGACTACATAATATTATGTAGAGTTCTGAATAAACTCAAGTAGAGTTTTATATAGAACTTTGATATTGTTGTAGATATAAGAAGCTTTGGAGTTAAAATCATGGAGTTAAAAGTAAGCATATAGTTGTAAGTCAAACTTCATGAAGTATAATTTAGAGTTCTATTTCAAGAGTAATGCATCTATAGTTTATTAGT